TCGACAACTCATGGGACTACCTCATCCCCACCCTCAATACTCAGCAGGACCAGTGGACACCAGAGTGGCTACGGCAGCTGATTCTGCAGGAGGACTTCCGCAGGCGTCACACGGGTGGTGGTGCTGCCAACAAGACCGCTGAGGGGTATGGAGCTGCAGGAGGCAGCAGAGGAAGAGGGGGAGGGAGAGGCCGAGGCCGTGGGAGAAGCTTTGGAAGAGGGAGAGGCCGAGGTGACTACAACGAGGGGCATGGGAGCCCTGGTGGCAGGGGGAGCACCCGAATGGAGGGTGCGTGCTGGTACTGCAAGAAGGCTGGACACCCGTGGTTCAAGTGTTTCAGCCGGCCTGAAGGATGGGCACCCCCAGGCATGAAGCCGCCAAGTGGTGAACGTGCACGGGGTGGCGCTGTGCAAGGTTCAGGTGCACAAGGTGATGGTGCACAAGGTAAAGCTGACCCTGGGATGTTCCTCATGGTTGAAGATGTGAAAGGGAGTGAGGGTAATGTGGGATCGGTTGGGAAGGTTGTGATGCACCCCCTCACTCACTGGGTGATAGATTCAGGTTGCACAAGTCACATGACTCCACGGGCAAATTTGCTTGATGAGGTAAAGCCCCCTGGAAAGATTAAGTTTGTGGCTGCTGCTTCAGGTGCTTTGCTCCCTGTGATTGGTGTTGGGAATGCCAAGGTGATGGGAGCCAATGGGGAGCTTGTGGGGCTGGGAAATGTGCTGCTAGTTGAAGTTTTGTCCGCTAACCTTCTTTCTGTGCGCCGGCTGCAGAAAAGCAAGGCAAAAGTTATGTTCGGTCCAACCAGCTGCCGTGCGAAGCTTGGGAAATTGCTGTTGTGGGATTTGGAGGAGAAGAGCAGCTGCATCAAGGACCTGTGGCAGCTGCCCATCATCCCTTTGAATGGAAAACCACCAGCAACGGCAACGGCAGCGGCTAAAGCAATTGCAGGAGGAGAGGAGACTGCACCAACTGCTGGGGAAGTCAAGAAGGTGCAGCAGCCAAAGCAGCCACATGGTGAGGTGCTTGCTGGTGTGGATGCGACAGCTGCATGGGAAAAGGCTTCATCTGGGAATGGTGATGCCGATTGGGAGACGTGGCATGAGAGGTTGTGTCACATCAACATTCCTATGCTGCAGAATTTGGTGAAGTATGGGAGCTTGAAGGGGTTGGAGGTGAAAGGGGCAGTGAAGGAGATAGGGAGCTGCCCTACATGCCTTGAGACAAAATTCACCAACTTCCCCTTCAGCAGCGGCACTGGACCAGCCAAGGCACCACTCGCGCTTGTGCACGTGGATGTGGTGGGCCCTACGAGGGCCCCTTCTCTCTCGGGCAGCCGCTACTTCTTAACCATTGTGGATGACCACACGCGTGCGGTGTGGGTGTAACCTCTCAAGACCAAGGGGGAGGTGGCAGCGGCTGTTCTTAAGGAGTGGATGCCGAGAGCTCAAAAGGAGAGCGGACACAAGGTGAAGGTGATCCGCACTGACAACGGGGGAGAATTCATTGGCGCTGATTTTGAGAAGGTGCTGAAGAAGAAGGGCATTCAGCATCAGCTCACAGTGCCCTACAACCCTCAGCGGAACGGCGTGGCTGAGTAGTTCAACCGGACCCTGCAAGAAGGTGCTCGCACTCTCCTTGGGCGTGCAGGGCTGCCGGATCCGTTTTGGGTGACTGCACTGCGGCAGGTCGCCCTTGTGAAGAACAGGGTGCTGGCGACTGTTGGGGACAAGCAGCGGGTCACTTACACCAAGTGGTGTGGGAGTGCACCAGCAGTCAACATGCTGAGAGCCTACGGCTGCATGGTGGTGTTTCATGTGCCTAAGGAGAAGAGGGGAAAGTTGGAGGCGTCTGGGAGATGGGGTGTGCACTTGGGGCGTGCTAAGGATCATAAGGGCTGGTTGATATGGGACTTGACCAGCCAGCAGCTGAGTGTGTCAAGGGATGTGAAGTTCCTCAAGTCCTTGTACTACAAGGAGTGGAAGCAGCAGTAGCAGAAGCTTCCTATTACACCGCTGATCATTGAGGCTGATGAGGTGCAGCGGCCTTCGAGGCAAGTGCAGGTCACTGTCTCAGAGAAGGAGATCGCTGGGGTGACTGAGGATGGGGGAGAACCTGAGGTGGAGCAGCAGAAGCAGCAGCAGCAGCTGCACCCGCAGCAGCAAGGTGCTGCTCCACGTGCCCCACACCCGCCTGAGCGTCCCAGGAGGGATATGCGCCCTCCTGCCAGGCTGACCTATGCGAGTCGTGGAATACCAAGTATGGTACCGGCTGGGAGTGTGACTGAGCAGATTGATGAGGATGAACTAGCCTACTGCTATGGGGCTACATTCAGAGGGTTTGGGGGATACCGCCGTGAGAGAGAAGCTACAACGAGGTGCAGCAGACTTGCAAAGCGGGCGTGTTGGAAGTGGGATGTTGGAAGGAGAGAGAAAGAACATTGGAAGGGAATGACGATTGCTCGAATGAGTGTGCATTGAGGGTGCATGCATGAGATGAAGCATGTGGGATGATGGTTGGCAGCCAGAGGGGAAGTTTGTTATGTGATGCCATCATTTGCATTCACGTCTGTCTGCCTCCCATCTTATGTTTGTGTGTTGCATGCGTGATGTGAGAGTGTGCAAGAATTTGTATTTGGCGTAGTTTGAATTATCTGAGCATGTGTGAATTTTATTTGGCTTGAGCAGATATTTGAAGTGACTCCTCTGCTCAAGAGCTTTCCGACGAACCAAGGATCGCGACAATCGGAGCACGAACAAGAAAGTTATGATCCTTCAAAGTTATGATTGTGTTACGGCGTCTATGTGAATTGGTGGAGTGACTCCATATGAGGTACAGACCTTTGGGGGTTGGGGAAATTCGTCACTCTATTGTAGATTGATGCCAAGTGGTTGGGAGAAGCCAATCCAGGTTGGCAAGTGTGGCCAAGTTGGGTGAGGTGGATGGCATGAGTTGGGAAAGTGACAAATGTCAAAGTTGGGGTGCCTATAGAGAGGGGAATTGTGCGGTATGGGGTTTCCTTGGTTGGGGACTCTCTTGGGACCTTCCCTCTCGACCTCTTCTTCCCTCCCACCTGGTTTACTGCAACTCTAACTTTCTTGTGTGTAACTTGTGAGTAAATTGTGATTGAGTTAAGTTTCTATGGCATCATACCCCCTAGTGCGCCGAAATTCATAACTCGAGTTATACTCCATATTTTGATACGATTGAAATTGGGAAAGATAGAGACGGTCCAGGGCTACAACATAAACGAGTTTGAGAGAATTCTAACTGTGCGTGTTTCGTTGACGACGTTTCTTGTGAGGACGACTTTTCTGTCAATAATTATAGTTCACGATTTTGAGATATTTCGGCCCCTGATCTTCATAGACACCGTCCTTAGTCTCAAACAGGTCCGAGGGCCAGGCTCATACGTTTTGTCGGAAACCTGCGTACCTTCTGCTTCGTTCCCTCCTGCTCCCGCTCTCTTCTTTTCCTTAGGCTCTCTTCTTGCCCTTCTCCTGTTCTTGGTCCCCTCCCTTGTCCTCAGCTACTACCGGAGAGATTCAGGCTCCCACACGCAGGTCGCCCACAGTGGTGCAGTCACCTAACTTACATAGCTTTAGAACGGTAATACTTGACCACTATATGAGGCGAACAAACAAGAGAACAAGTTGTGTTGGCTGTTTTGTGAGACTAAAGACGGAGTCTAGGATGATTATGGGCCGAAATAACTCAAAATCGTTGGACTAAATATATGGACAGAATTGTCGACTTCACAAGAATCGCCGTCGACGAAACGTGCACAGTTAAAACTTCACCAATTTCAGATATGTTGAATCATATCAATAGGTGAAGTAATACTGGAATTATGAATTTCGGCGTACCGAGGGGTATGCTGCCACAGAAACTTTACGCAATCACAATTGTTCAACCAAGAACCACACAAGAGAGTTTAGAGTAGCAAGAACCAGGTAGGACGGGATAAGAAGGACGAGAGGGAAGGTCCCCAAGGAGTCCCCAACCAAGGAAACCCCATAAGCACACAATTCCCCTCCCGATAGGCACCCCAACTTTCACCCTTGTCATTTTCCCAACCCATGCCATCCACCTCACCCAACTTGGCCACACTTGCCAACCTGGTTTTGTTAGAAGGAAATGCTGTCATGAGCAACAAAATGTCTGCGCTCGGATTCGAACTCGTGACCTTCAAATCTGTCCTGAAAGTGGCTCAGGACAGATTCAGGAGAGTTCCTGCTAAGGCGATGGTTATGGTGCACGCGAGTTTCGAACTGGAGACCTTTCGATTCAAGTGTCCCGAAAGTGTCTTGTTAGGACGGATTGGGGACAGTTTGGGGACTGATTGGGGACAGTTTGGCGAAATCGATCTCATGTCGCGTTCGGTTTGAAACTCCGCAGCGAAGTGTCGAAGTCAACGGAATTCGCACGGGAGTTATAGTTGGTGGTCGACGGAATTCTGGTCGCGGAAATGCTCGTCTATGGAATTCTAGTCAATGGAATTCGCCCGGCAAAATTCAAGGCTCGGAATTTCGCGTCGACGGAATTCAACGTGCGACCCGGGTCGACACTTTCTTGTTTGCTTTTATTTTGTATTGCGTCCTAGTATAAAACCAGAGAACACGAACCAGAAATTAACTAAGTCATTATCACAGCTATGTTTGTGTGTAACTCTGGCTATAGTGGACCGTTTCCTGTAATCGTTGGTGCGTTGGAATCGTGCTTTGGAGCTCTATCAAGCTGCTATAGTAGTGGAATTCTACATGGTATCAGAGCTGCGTTATCTGTGTCGATCCAACTAGCGGCTTGATTCCGTCTCCCCATCACTAAGGTTCCCACCTTGGTGTGGCCGACGCTCGTTTTGACCGCGGATTGAGTGGTTAATGAGCGCCGAGGGCCTGAATGCCCGTCAAGAGCTGGAGGCGTGCGTTCGTGAGCACCACCCTAACTTGCGTGATGAGGTGGTGCACCTCATTGTGGACGGTCGTCTACTGCGCATGGTTCGGGAGCGTGCGACGGAGCAAGCACCTGCGAGTCGCCAGCAAGGAGGAACCGATGAAGGAGGAGCCGTGCACGAGGCTCCAACTGCCGTGGGCGTTGGTGGAGGAGCTGTTGCACCAACCATTGACACGGGAATGATCGGCACGAGCTACGGCCAATTCAAGTTTGGAGTAGAGCACATCTCCATGACGCCGCTGCTGGAGGGAAGGCACGACCTTACCGCGTGGGTCAGCGTCATTCGACCTCAGCTCCAGTGCGCTGATTTGTGGCAGTTTTGCAACGGGACAGCACCAAGCCCGGCCCCAAACAACCCCATGCAACGAAGGGGGTACGCGAAGGGCCAAATGCTTGCATTCATGGTGCTGAACCGCTGTGTTTCTCCACCCATCCGAATGTCTATCTCTGGTTTCTCCCAGCAAGAGAAAGTCGGACAGCTAGCATGGGCATATATCTTGTCTACTTATCAAGCTCGTGATGCCCTCCACGCTTCCCTACGTCAGACCCAGTTAGCCCAACTCAGGAAGGGAGATGACGAGACGGCCGAATCCTACTGCAACAGGGCCCGCACCATTCGAGCGGAGCTGCTGACCATTGGACAGGAGGTCCATGTGGCCACGTTCGCTGCGCATGTGTTGAAGGGGCTGCCGCCAAAGTATGGTTTTCTTCGCCGCAAGCTCGACATTTCCAGACGGGAGATGACTGTCGAACGTGTGTGCAGCGAGGTGTTGATGGAGGAGCAGATCCTCTCCATCGAACAGAGCTACAAGCAGATCACCAGTGATGCATCGGCTTTCTCTGGCGCTGTCAACACGATCGTGGCTACAACGGGGGTCAACGCGAAGGAAGGGAAGGGAGGAAAGGAGCAGATGGACAAGAAGAAGGATGGCAAGCGGGAGAAGAAGCGAGGCCCCTTCAAGGGGCGCTGCTACGACTGCGTTGAGGAGGGGCACATGGCTGCGAAGTGCCGCAACATGAAGAAGGATGCAACGCCCGCGGTAGCCGCAAACGTAGCTGAAGGAGATGGGAAGGGCGTATAGCGGGAGTAGTCGTCCACCACAATCAGGAAGAAGCGCTCCTGACGTGGGCGAAGGACCGGGGAGGGGCCACAAACGTCCAAATGCAGGGTCTGTAAGGGAGCCGTGGTGGGGGGAAATAAGGAAGAGTGAGGGGCAGCACGCTGCCGACCCTCGACGCAAGGAGTGCACAGCGGCGCAGGCGAGTGGGTAAGCGGGGCGAGCGACTCTAGGAGACCTAAGACCAGACGGTGACGTACCATCCTACTGAGACGCGGGAAGAACAGGCGACCCAGACGGTGGTGCCAGAGGACCAACGGGTGGGTGACTGACCGGCAGTCGCACGACACAGCAGCAACCTGACCTGACCTGAGTGGTGAGACCCTGCGTACAGACCAGAGCCTGGCTCCCTGTGAAAAGTGGCCAGAGGCAGCCCAGTGGCACCGACTGTGCAGGAGGCAATAGACTCGTCTAGAGGGAAAGTGGTGACTACTCGGAGGTCGTGGAGGTGTTTGACACCCACCAAGTTCTTGGAGAACGAAGGGGTAGTAATCTGTTAGGACCCCAAAGGGAGCCGCCGGACACGGGAGAGTGGTGGAGCTGTGGGCAACGACAGGTCCCGCTGAGAGGGGTCAGCCAAGTGACAGTGACAGGAGTGAGCAACGGCGTAAGGTCTGTGCAGTCATGGAAGAAACAGCTGGACGCCCCAGAGTCGAGGGTGACGGAAAGCGGCGCTGTCGCTGAGGTCATACCCGAGCCAGCGACAAAGGCTGGTACTAGGCTAGCAGTAGCTGCAGCTCCCATACAAAGACCCTCAGATGCACCTAGGCTAGAAACTACACACGCACCAAGACTGGAAATACAAGTCCCTACTCGTGTTGCCGGGAAAGGTCCTAGACTAGGTATGTGCGACTCAACTGGTCCAACAGTACTCTGGCGAAGACGCGAAGGCCAGTGCGGTGGAATCACGTCAGGTCCAAAGTGCTCACAGTGGAGGTCGTCGAGGCGACGGTAGTAGCGGGACGCGGAGTGGTTAGGACTCCAGCAGATAGTGCCAGCACCAGGGCCAGTCTGGATCCGGTACCCGCAGGGACTGACGTCGCGCCCACATCTGGTTGAGCCGCTGCTGGAGCCAGCACTCCTTGGACCCTCAGGTCCCCACTGTCGGGAGTGCCGCGGTTGGCCTTGCTGCTGCAGAACTCAAGCAGACACAATGGTAGGTGCTAGAGACGGCCGAGCGTCGTGGGGAGCGGTTAGGAGCGGTCATGTACGGTTTGATGCGGTATTTGTTAGTGCAATCCTTGTGCGTGCATGCGTGTGTGCATGGAATGGTACGAGGGCATGAGATAATATATATTTCATGCTCATAATAGTGTGTGAATGATGATTCACGATGTCGAATGTGTGTGTGGAGTCAATAGCGAGTTATCGCTAGTCGAGTTTCACGTCGTCGTTTGTGTGTCATATGCGTTTTCTATTTTGTCGTGTGTCGAACGTTTCGGCGTGTCGTTGGTGTATGCAGCAAACTTTCAAGAACGCAAGGAAGGGTTCATGGTGAAGACCCAGAGCCTTGGTTTCAAGTTTCAAGTAATTTCGAAGCTCGCCAAAATGGTAAACAACAAAACAAGATAGTGAGAATAGTTACATTTCATTGTGTAGTGTAACATTTCTCTTGGTGTAGGCCCTTGTGGTGGGTAGTTACGAGCCTTGGGACTGTGTGGCACTGTTCTACCTCCCACGAAATCGGCTCTTGGGGTTTATAGAGGCTGGGAGTCATTCCCAACTCGTAACTTCTTCCTATCTAGTGTCCAAAGACAATAGTTGCTGCTAGACCGCCGTTCACTCCAACTTCTCTTACGTAGTACTTTCTTTATCAAATTAAGTGATTTGACTTTCTAACTGTAGGCGACGCCAAGACGCTCCAGATCCAGTTTAAAGCACCGCATTTAGTGCTGTGATCAGAACGTTATCAATGTTTGAATCCGCTCAGCCGAAATCCAGCTGCTGCACTCTATCTATTGTGACTATAACAAGTGGCATCAGAGCCCTTTGGAGCAGTTTTGATAATGGCTGAACCTGAGGAAAGGGGTGGCAGAGGTGCTAGTGGCAGTGGAGAAGCCCAAGCTCAAGGCCAACCCCGTGATCAGCCCATGGCTCCCGTACAACCAAGTCTTGGCCCATCTAAGGATGTGCCTAGAGTGTTTGGCCTTGACAAGTTCAATGGTGACAATTTTGCTGAGTGGTCCTTCAGGGTGGAAAATATATTCGACCATTATGATCTGCTGGAGGTGATGGAAGGAACGTAGAAACGCTCCAAGAACGACACGGAGAAGAGCCCGTGGGTGCGGAAGAGTGCACATGGCTATCTCCTACTTGGGCAAGCGTTGGGGAGCAGCCAAATCCGTCACATCAAGCCTTTCCAGCGTGAACCAGAGAAAGGACCCAGCTGGTTTGGTCACAGCTCCTTTCTGCGCGAGCTGTGACCAGAGCTGTCACTTGGTCCGAGGACCAGGCCCATACGTTTGCACTTGGTCCGGGGACCAGGCCCATACGTTTGCACTTGGTCCGAGGACCAGGCCCATACGTTTGCACTTGGTCTGAGGACCAGGCCCATACGTTTGCACTTGGTCCGAGGGCCAGGCCCATACATTTGCACTTGGTCCGAGGACCAGGCCCATACGTTTGCACTTGGTCCGAGGACCAGGCCCATACGTTTGCACTTGGTCCGAGGACCAGGTCCACGTTTGCACTTGGTCCGAGGACCAGGCCCATACGTTTGCACTTGGTCCGAGGACCAGGCCCATACGTTTGCACTTGGTCCGAGGGCCAGGCCCATACGTTTGCACTTGGTCCGAGGGCCAGGCCCATACGTTTTGTCGGAAACCTGCGTGCCTTCTGCTTCCTTCCCTTCTACTCCCACTCTCTTCTTTTCCTTAGGCTCTCTTCTTGCCCTTCTCCTGTTCTTGGTCCCCTCCCTTGTCCTCAGCCACTACCGGAGAGATTCAGGCTCCCACACGCAGGCCGCCCACAGTGGTGCAGTCACCTAGCTTAAGTAGCTTTAGAACGGTAACAGTTGACCACTATATGAGGCGAACAAACGAGAGAACGAGTTGTGTTGGCTATTCTGTTAGAGACTAAAGACGGAGTCTAGGATGATTATGGGCCGAAATAACTCAAAATCATTGGACTAAATATCTGGACAGAATTGTCGACTTCACAAGAATCGCCGTCGACGAAACGTGTACAGTTAAAACTTCACCAATTTCAGATATGTTGAATCATATCAATAGGTGAAGTAAAACTGGAGTTATGAATTTCGGCGTACCGGGGGGTATGCTGCCACGAAAACTTAACTCAGTCACAATTGTTCAACCAAGAACCACACAACAGAGTTTAGAGTAGCAAGAACCAGGTAGGACGGGATTAGAAGGACGAGAGTGAAGGTCTCCAAGGAGTCCCCAACCAAGGAAACCCCATAAGCACACAATTCCCCTCCCCATAGGCACCCCAACTTTCACCCTTGTCATTTTCCCTCCAGCAGCTCCAGCTCCAGCAGCTCCAGCTCCAACGGCTGTAGCAGCTCCAGCTCCAGCAGCTCCAGTACCTCCAGTACGAGCATCTCCACGACCAGCAGCTCCAGCACCTCCGGCTCCACCTCCTGCAGCACCACCAGCTCCAGCAGCTCCAGTACCTCCAGTACGAGCACCTCCGGGACCAGCAGCTCCAGCACCTCCGGCTCCAACGCCCGCAGCACCACCAGCTCCAGCAGCTCCAGTACCTCTAGTACGAGCACCTCCGGGACCAGCGGCTCTAGCACCTCCAGTAGCTCCAGCTCCAACGCCGGCACCACCTCCAGCTCCAGCAGCTTTAGTACCTCCAGCGCCAGTGTTATAGACACAGTAGGCTTCAATGTGCCTAAAACGAAAGATAGAGTGCACAGTCGGACTTCTGCACAGCGGCTTTAAACGTTCATAGCGTTCTGGTAACAACTTCAAATGGGCTGATTCAAATTGTATCTAGAGCGTCTTAACGTCGCCTACAATATGCGTTTTAGATCGCACAAGTTCACCAAGTATTGACGACACAGCGTCGGTTTGAACGAACGGCTCTATGGCAGCCACTATAGGAAGAGATACGAGTTGGGAATGACTCCCAGCTCCTACAAACCCCAAGAGCCGAGGTACAGTGATGTGGATCAGTCCCACACTGTCCCCAACCACGAAGGGTATCGAAACTACCCTTCACAAGGGCCTACACCAAGTGAAATGTTACACCTCACAAGGTAATGTAACTATTCTCAATATATTGAGGTGTACCCTTATCGCGGGCGTCGCGATCACTTGAGTCTTGACACCAAGGCTCTGGTTCGTCACCATAAACTCATCCTTGAGTTCTTGATGGGTCTGCTCTACACACCTGCGACATGCCGAACGTTCCACATACGACAAAATGGAAACCGCGCGACACACACAAACGACGACGTAGACACGCGACTAGCGATGACTCGCTATTGCCTCGACACACACACACATTCGACATCACGACTCATCATTCACACACTATTATAAGCATGAAATATATATTATCCCATGCCCTCGTACCATTCCATGCATACACGCATGCATGCATACGGACAACAAGCCGAGTGCAAACCGTAGGGTTGCACCAACAAACTCCCCCTCGGATTGTTGGCCTTAGGATCTGCTCCTCTCAGTTCAGAGCCATCACAGCCAGCTTGCCGCACTTCCAATGCTGCTGCTCCACCAGCCTCTTAGTCATCATGTCAGCCGGCTGCCCCGTCGTCTTCACGTAACGCAACTCCACTTCACCCGCGGCCACCATGCTCCCCGTCCAATGCCACTTCACCCTCATGTGCTTGGTGAGGCCATGCAACACAGGGTTCTTAGCAAGAGCAATGTCACCCTGGCTGTCACAGTAGAGTGGGGTAGGTCCTTGCTGCTCCTCCGCCAATTCAGCCAACAAACGCCGCTGCCATACAATCTCCCTTACGGCACGGAAGAGTG